CTGAAGCTGCCAGCCCTGCAGAAAGAACACAAACTAGCAATTCTAAGAAATAGAGGGGGGAAAAAAAAGGAAACAGCATTACCTTGTAGAGAGATGGGAACTTTAGCCAGAATTGCATCTGGGACATTTTAAAATAGCATTCAGTTTGCTGTGCGAAGAGCAGGACTCAGATGAAGCAGTAAGGTGAGTTCTTTCAATATATAATGGAGAAAGGTCTTCATTCATGACAGCGACAGCAGAAATGGCCAGAGAGAGCGCTCATCAAGGGTTTTTAAAAATTAACATTCAGAAGAAAGGAGTGAAAACGGGAGAAAAAAGGACAGCCATACAATGCGTCTGTCCTAAGCCTGTAAAATTTGCATATACTGTTTAGTCATGAAGGAGAGTGCTCTTACTTCCTCTAAGTACAAGGGCTGATTTTCAGGAAATGATGCCTGCTTGGTAAGTCAGTGAAATTACTGGCAATGCGATGAGAATTACTGTATGTGGTGTAATTCAACCACAGATACACTGTAAACAAAGCTGCGCTCCTCGGCAGCGCAGGCAGACTCGGGCCAGGAGCAGCCTGTGTAAGAACCTGGCTGCTCACTGCCCAGGACTTTGCTCCTTTCCTCCTTCCCCCATTTCAGTCCGAGAAAATGCTATCATTTTCTCCACAGCAACTTCTGCTTGGGGACTTGTGCAGGGTTTTCTTTTTTTTTTTCCTCCTACATTGGTGATTTTAGGAGGTCAGATGAACTAATCAAACTGAAAGAGATTACAAAAAGTATTTAAAACTTTTCTCCCTCTTTTTTTTTTTTTAAAGAGCCGCATGTTTTCATCTTCAATATTTGCCCTACCCCAAATATTGTGATCAGAAAATAAAAAGGAGTAGCTTAATTCTTAATTTTCTATTCTGGATGATTCCTACTTTTCTGTGTCCAATAGAATTGCCTTCTTTTTCCAAAGGCTCTATTTTTTAACTTTATTTAACAGTTTTGGTAACAGAAATGAGCAAAATTTCTCATGTGGGGGAGTGGAGAAGAGAAAAAGGCAGTAAGAGGGGACACCTGAAAGGGACTCGTTAGGCTCTCCGTTAACCATCTCGGGCATTTGGGCCATCAGAGGAGGAACGGGAGAGAGGTGCTCACCCTGACCAGTTAGCCACAACCACGCGCACCCAGTGCCGCCCATACTGGGCCAGGAAGAGGCGTCCTGGCAGCAGATCGCCTCTCACCTCCTGCTCAGCACCTTTCCACGCAGACATGGCACTTCTCCAAACTGCAACGCAGCTTGTCACTGTTCTGCGTTAGAGCCAGAGCTTGGTGTCTGCCGTTGTGGCTATTGCAAGTGCTCTTGGGACCACGTGCCCAGAACTGCTGGGAAACCCCCATAGGCTTCTCAAAAAACAAAGAATTTAGGAGCAAGGAGCTACAGAAGACAGTAAAGTCTTTACAAGGCCTAAATGAGATGAGAGAAGCTTCTGAGTAGAAAGCAAGGAGCTTTCTAATGACACTGAGAATTAGGGGAAACCAACCAGAGGTGTTTTGCTTTGCTTACTTTACAACATCCTGCCTTTGGATGAGGAGGGAGCCAGTGTTTCAAGTCACAATGCATTGCCCTTAGAGGACAGTCCCCTACAAGACAAACACACTCAGTCCCAGGCCTGGAAAAATGCACATGCAGAACGCAAACCCAAGACAAGGGTTCACTGTTTCTAAGGAAAGCTGGGTCTGGTGCCTGGGCATACGACATAGCCCATCTGCGGCACAGGGCTTCCACAGGGATTATTGATAGCTCAGAATAACAAGGATCCAGGGTCCACCATGCAAAAAACTTAGCCTAGAAGACTTTTATTCAATAAGTAAATAGGAAAAAAATGCTTTTCCCCAGACACTTTAAGACTACTTGAAGAGTAGATCCTCGTACCACACTCAGAGAAGCAGCAGTGCAGAAGGCTAAGAAATAGCAGCCTGAGCAGCTCTCACCCCACAACAAGTTATTTCACTTTTCTAACTAAAGAAAAAAAGCTGCGGATAGAGGCGTTTCATGAGTGCTGCTAAAGGAGATGCATTCTGCAGGAACTGTGGTGAAAATGAAGAGTTTGGTTTCTGTGGGCAGCTGGTTTGGGGTGGAGAAAGGCAGGAGGTTTTCACTGCTGCTTTTATCTGAATTTGATTGTATTTAATTATCTGGTAGTGCCCTGGAGCTTGGGATAGGTGCTTTAGTACGTTCGAAGTAAAGAGGCCAGATACATTTTTTTTAAACATCTTAATTATTGACTTGCTGGTGACTGACTCGCTGTCTGACCAAGCTTGCTTAAAACACCAACTCTTGCCTAAGACTACCAAGATCTTGCTATTTATACAACCTTTAAAAAGCAGGTGGCTTATTTCCTCTTCCCTTTCTCTCAGTGGACAACCAGAGTAACATGTAGGTAACAAAACTGGAGTGCCAAGAGGAAGCAAGACATATCACACTTTTACAGATACCAGGACCGCTAAATTGATTTCGTAATACCACAATAATATAATCACAGAAGATAAGATAACTGACTGAAAAACCACCACCTGGTATTTTAAGAACCTGTCCTAGGAGACAAGGTATGCCACAGCATTTCCACTCTCTAGAGTTAATCCATGAAGATGCATGCTGACAAACAGGGATAGGAAAGCAGAATTATTCTAGTGTTCACAATACTAATTGGACTTTTTCAGCAAAAATTGAAATGTAAAATCCAGTTAACTGCATGAACTTTGTTAGGTAACCTTCACAGCATTACCATGGTCTGGGCAACATGCTCTAGGTGACCCTGCTGGAATAGAAGGGTTGGACCAGACAATCTCCAGAGGTCTCTGCCAATCCCAGCTGCAATCTTTTAATGACTGACCTATAGGATAGGAACTTGCTGGAGGTTTCCCGAGAGCATGTGCTGAACTTTCAGGAAAGTATAACATACAAATCAATATAGAATAACATATCTGTAGAGCAGACCTGGTAGCTTGCCACCCTCAAGCAACCAAAGAGCCTGGAACTAAATTTCCTGAAATACTTACCTGCCTAAAGATGAGACTTTCAGAAATGTCCAAGCACACTTTAGGCTCAGCTTCCTGACCTGGTGAGACGCTTGTGAAAAAAATATCAGGCCCCTGAATGTCTCTACAAGTGAAACTCCTGGTATCTGTGTAAACAGGCAACTTCACAGGCTGGATGGACGTTTGAGCAGTGCAAAGGATATTTAATTAGATCACAGCAGGTCCTTAGTGCCTTGGAAAAAATAAGTCTAAGAGTGACTAATGGGGTGGAAGAGTACTGAATATTTAAACGCTACAGTTTGTCCTAATAACTGTTTTTTTCAGAGGGACGAAAGATGGGAGTGTATGTATCGTACAGACCAAGTCTTGCTTTTCCTGTTTCCACAACAGGACTGGCTTTACTCAGCTGGGTACAAGGCTTTGCTTTGCATTTTGGCTGTTTTGAGAACCAAAAGAACCATTATTGCCACGCATAGGATACCCTCTGCTCTAGTTTAAAAGTGAGCAAAAGGAAGCAAGGTGTAGGGTGAATAAGTGCACAGAGAGGCTTTGACAAGTCGAGACCACAAATGCTTTATTTTTAAAGCTGACACTAAAGCAAGAATAACACAGCAGCTGGTAGGCATTTTATAATCAGAGCTGAAAAACAGTATGTGTATGGGGGTGTGGGAGGGATTAGGATCAGCAAACCTTGTTAGGACCTCTCTCCTTTCAGGACTGGAAATTTGGGAGGTAATTGCTATTTGTTAGGGAACGAGGAGAAGGGCAGGAGCAAACTCTTGCAGGTGATTGTTAAAAACTGGAAGGAATCAGTGCATGGCAATAGGCAGTGAGATGCTTTAATTTGGGGAATAGTCAACATATGTGAGCAGGAGAAGAAAAATTGACCAAAGAAACTGTTCTTCCTGGAGGCAATATTAACCATGGTGACTGTGTGGTAGGACCATTGGCGTCAGGGCTCAATTTGCAGAAGTGAAGGGCGTTTGAAAGAGTGTTTCCGAGGCATCCCTCGGAATAGAAACCTTTACACATTACAAATTAGGAGATATAGTCACCAGCAGCAGAACTGGAGACAGAGACCCACTTGATCTGACTGACTCAGACCAATTCTGCTTTGAATTAAAACATCTATTTGAAAACATTTCCCAGTGGTCTGCTATTAAGTTACAATACTGGCATTTTTTTTAAGAGCACGCCATGTTTCAGACTACTGCTTCTCCTGCTTTTGTTAGCTTTATAAAGGGGAGGAGGTAGAAAACTGTTTGCCAAGAATTTCAGAAGGTAGTTTTCTATTGCTTTCCATGCCTTCCCTGCTGCCTAGGAGCTGGGCATAACCTACGTTTGAGGCTAACAATACAGATGAAAACTAACAAGTGTTGAATAGAGGAGCCATCCGGGGCAGGTCTTCCTCCAGGCCCTCGTACCCCTTCCCCAGCCCACAGGCACACGGGCCAGCTCCTGCTTCCCCTGCAATCAGTGGCGCAGTGCGACCGACAACAAATTCAGTTCAGCCTTGAAAGCAGAATTCTTCTCGCTCAGGCACGATATCCCCATCTGATTTAGTCTCAAGAGCTCCTTTTATACATGGAAGAGGAAGATGTATTCCTAAAGTACAGTTCATCCAACCAAAAGGATGCTGCTTCAGATCAACCGCATCCCAGACGTGCCCCTCCCTTCTCAGTAACCACCTCAGTGACTAAATAAGATAGTCACAACAAACCAAACACTTGGTCATATGAATTTTATGCTGGTGGCTAAGCCTTGCAGTTCAGAAAAGAATTGCAGCCCCTGTTTGTGCACCTGCCTGGATTGGCCCTTAGTTGTGAATACAATATTCGGGCGCTGAGAAGGACTAAGCAGCTACCGATCTGGCTAGCTCCAAACAGCAGCTTACTTTGCACCGAATGCAGTTCGTAACCAAAGCAACCAAACCTTTTAACCTTGTCTGATGCCCTCGTCTCTTTGTATGCCAATTGCAACACTTACTCAGTTCTGAGTTTGGTGCGTGGCCTTGTTATCAGGTGAATCATCCCAAAGTGCATTATCTGATGTGTTATCACCTGGGCGCTCCGCACAGGGTGAGCCTCTACAATGCAGGAGCCCAGGATAAGACAGCAGGGCAGCTGCAGACGCACAAAAGCCACACTTATAGCTCTCCTGTGGGGGAATGCACACCATAATTACAAACACAATTTAACCATATTTACTTAACTAGGTCAGATGAGCTGTTCTAATCAACGCAATGATTTTGCTAAACCAAAGCCTGAAGTAAGCGTGAGGTGTCTCACTGAAAGTGTTTTTAAAACACAATTAACTCGAGCCCAAAATCCAACCCTGAAGCGCAAAAACAAAGTCACAAGCATGTAAAGCAACTTATTCACAAAACCCTTCAAAGGTACCAGAGCCAGTTAATTGTCTTCAAATTGATTTTAATATCTGTATTCCCTCTAGACATAACTCCAGGACAGCGATAGGAAATTCCAGGTGGTTTCTTATTCCAGGAAGCGCTCTATTTCACTCAGAACCAAGTCTTTCATATAATTTAATAACTGCTACATTGATTTCTCTTAAATCACCATAGCTCTGTGCACTGAAGCACTTTTACAATTTTTTTTTTTTTTTAAGAGTAGGTTGAGAATTTTTTCCCCCCTTTTCAACAAGATTAATAAGACATTCCAAGACGGCGGTAGCAAAAAAAAAAAAAAAAAGGGGGGGGGGCAGTTTATGATTAACATGTCCCCCACACATCACAAACACTATGAACAGCAGATCAAACAAGGCTGTAATTGCATCTTTACAGCATTATTGCAAATGACTGTACCCAAGAGCAGCCAATTCCTCCCTGCCTCCACAGCCTAAACCAGCCCTGACTGACCTCCTTCCTCATTTCAAGCACAACTTAAATTTTAGAAAGGGTACTGAGTTTCCTGCCAAAGCAGTTTTAAGTAGAGATGTTTCACTGAGGGAGAAAAGGAACGCGTTTCTGTAGAGCTCACTTGCAGGGCCGCTGAACGTCCGTACTTTCCACACATGCCAACAGGAGCTGCTTAGTCCTGCTGCAAAAAAATCAGGAGCTTTATTTTTCAGTGTATTTTCTGACAAACGAAACAATAAGAGGAGGCCTGTGTGTGCTCAGAGAAAAGTCCTGTTTTAGACAGATACAAGGAATAAGACAAATGAAGCTGAGCGAAGGGGTTGACTATCAGAAACAGTCTAAGGGCGAGACCATTTTAGATAACAAAAGGCTCAGAGGAAATGGGCAGAGTCATGTGTTTTAAATAATTCTAAACAGGATAGAACAGTGAAATCTAAAGAAAAACCTGTGGTGGCCAAGGGCAGGAAATATTCAAGTGACATTATGTTTTTCTAGAACAGGTTGCTCTGCTTTTATCATAAAGCTCAGGGGGCAGACTGCAGCTCAAAACATGCACTTGCCGGGGAACATTAGATCCCAATGTGTAAGATGAAACCTCCCAAATTTAGTGTTTTGTTGTGGTAATTAACAGCTCTTATGAACAGCAACACAAGACAGATATTTTTATCATAACAAGGCTGTGCAGTAGAATTACCACAAGCTAACACTGAATTCCAGTACATCAGTTAGGCTTAGCCACATCCCAAGACTTCAGGTTTTGAGGCCAGAGGGAAAAATAGGAGAAAGTGAGAAAAGCTATGGAAACTGAAATCCTGCTTCTCTTCAGGATTTTGACTGAAGTCAAATATCCTGAACATTTGCAGTCAGTAGACTCCTTCTATAAGGAGATCACACTAATGGTCTGGGCCAGACTTTGACTAAGGGCAACAGTTCCCAAGATCCAAAAATGCTATCAGACCCCAATACAGCCTCATATAACTATTTTCTAAACCTTAATTTAAGCCACTTGTTTATATTAAAAATGCCAACAGACCAGCAAGGATGAATCACCCTGCAGCAAGCCAAAAACCAAAAATGTTGTGGAGGAAACAGATTTCAAGTTCTCGTTAGGCTGTTCTGAGCATGCAAATGAAACATCTTTTCCAATATGCAGAAGGCATTCAACAAGGCTGCTGAGATACAAACAGAAATCACTTTTCACCAGACTGAAGTGGCAGTGGCTCATGAATCAATTAAAAAGGAATTCCTAGGATAATTAAAAAATGTGGCAACTCCCAATCATGATACCCTCTGGCCAGCAAAGACTTTGTGTTACACTCTGAAGGTCCAACCGAGGACTTCCCAAACAAAATACGGAGAGAAGATGGAGGGAACCAAACGCTAGCGCTGAAGGAAAAGACTTTTGTTCTCTGAATGCTCTTGTTGTGTCCCCAGATCTAAGGCATGACCAGTCTCAGCTCATCCCCACCCGCAGAAAGCATTTACTACGTGAATACCTCAACAAAATCATTAGTCATTTGCTCTTTAGACCCTTTAAATCCATTTTCAATATCACGCACATTCCTGGAAAACCCTTTAAAGAGACAAAACCACCTACATGTTTAATGCAGTCCAAGGCCAGGCTGGAATCCCACTGCAGCCCAGAAGGGCTGCAAGTACCTTATGGGAAGGGGGTGCTCACCAGCTCGCTGTCAAAGCTCACTCACATAAGGATCACATTCAGACCCACAAAGCTTCACTCTAAATTGGAGACGACGCTTTCATCTCCTTCCTCTACCTTCCCAGGATAGCTTGCAAAAAGTTAAGCACTAGCAGTGTGTTGAGACAAGTCAAGCTCTGGGACCCCAAGGGATAGCAAGCTCTCCAGTGCTGCTCAACTACCATATCATAAATGGGATTTTAGTATCTGGGCAAGGAAGAGCGAATGGCCTATCTCGCCGTATGAAGGCAGCACAGTTCTCACATAGGTACCCAATCTACTTTGTCCGCCCAGTGACCACAGATTTAATCAAGAATCTCTTACCAGAGCATGCAGTGAACTCCTCATGATCTCCCTTCTGTTTCACTCTTCTGTCTTGGCACAGTTGTGACAGCACAAAGCCTAACAAGATTTGCCACTCCTGCCACCGCACACAGAGAGTGCCGTACAGACAGGTACTTTCCTATACAGTCACCTGGAAAGATGCAACTACCCAAGCTGGTTCCTACATGTCCCGAATGGTGTATTTCGGGTTTCTAGGCAGAGTGTTAATATTTAACAGTTTGGCATCTGGGATAGCTAGAAAGCAGTAAAGTAGAAAATACTGTTGAAGCAAGAGATGAAAAAGCTCCAGGACACTCCTGGATGACTCCAGATGGAGGCCACAGCCTCCAGTTAATTGCGTGCCGCTCTAACAGATCCAGGCTCTAATTCTGGCTCCTATGAAAAAATCATCAGCTTTTCTTTGGATGAGCAGTGACTAGTAGTTTAGGAAAGCCCTAGGTTTTATCAAGTGACTTCCATGTTAGTGTTTATGTGGAATGGTCGCAGGACCAGAAAGATTGGCTCTGTTGACAGTTGTCCAGGAAAGAGGGGGAAAACCACAAATTAAAACAGCATTAGCTATCCAAGTCTCTTTCAAACATTTTTACAAGGGAAGCTATCTGCAAAGCACTTCCAGATCCTGCTGTGAATAATCCTCAAACGCCTAATGCAGGGGCTGAGTCAAACCCACTGGCTCTCTAGAAACAGATGAGGTCTGTTCACAAATGGTTGCAACAGTCCCCCATCACCATTAACAATTTATCGCATACTAATATATCAGTGTGCTAGGAGCAAACCATGTAGAGAGCTCAATCAGGAACTGAGCGCTCGGAGAGGCTGATCTGTAGCGTGAGGCATCACTGGCTCAGGAATTCGGCAGGCAGAGCCAGCAGGTTGAGCTGCAGGGTGACTTCAGATTGAAACGCTTCTTTGAGAGACAAGGGAGCACAAAACTAGTGTTATTTCACATTGATGGGCACTGTCATACTAGACATCTAGCAAGCACTCGTGTCAGACTGCACTGTGACAGCTCTAGACAGACACCATCCCTCTGAGGTACTAATTTTATCAGATTAGTTTCATATTGGAAAACACAGCTCTGACAAAAGTCTTATTCAGTGTTTTTCAGTTTCAGAGCTCAAAGGGTGACACCACTGTCTTGGGTAATCTGTGGGAATCTCCAGAAAGTCCCAGGCAGTAATGCTGAGTGCACAGGCTTACAGAGAAACACTGAGAGAAAAAGCACCCATAAAAATGCTTTTTTCATTGTGGGAACACATCTGGCACTATCTGCTTTTACATGGCAAGCAGTATCTGAGCAAAAAAACTGGCTCCTGTAAATGTTCGATTCAGAGGCAGCACTTTACTGTTTCTATTCTTGAACTAGAAGAGCTCTCATGCATGTGGTGTAATGGGAAAAGTCTCACAATAGTTGCCTTGGAATGGGTCAAAGCAAAAGTCTAACTGCCTACAATCACCTTGCTCCCTCGTGTTACTTCTCTGAAAGCTTGAGAATGGCACAGGAATCATTTCTTGTTCTGGACATCATTTAAGGTCATTTATGTCTGGTTTGTCTCAGAGCCCTCCTGCTTCTATATTACAGAGCCAACACTTAAGAGATGCGTCTCCTTCTCATAAAGGGTCTCCAAAATCTGCTCTTGCCAAGCTGGCTAAGATCAATTTCCGTGATGCAGCAGGGAGAGGAAGCTGATTGACCACTTAGATACTAGAAAATACATAAGTTGAAGAAATAATTAAGCCCCTTTCCCGTTAAACCCATCAACCAAGCTACACCAGACCTGCAAGCTGAAACCTATGGAGAGGACCCTTCTCCCTCTCCCCACTGCAGCCTGTTAAATGGCTTCCACAGGTTGATGAGATCACGTTTCTGTCTCATTCCTTCTGCAATTAATTCTGCAGGAGGCAAGGATCAATGCTATTATAATTCATTCACTTATCTGGTTTTATCCAGTTGTCAGAGTCTGGTCAATAACAGGATTCTGTCCCAGCAACAGCTCCTAGTGACTGACCACTGCGTTAGTGCTCACACAGGCAAAGCCACCTTGCAGCAGCCTCCCTGGAGCAGTCAGCCCTGTCGTGGGACTGAAGCGCACTAAACCAGTGAGGCAATTCCAGCAGTCTTGCCCAAGGAGTTGAACTTGGGCTACCACATCAGTGGCTCACCTCAAATGGCTCAAATTCTCAGGGTATGCAAATCCAAAACTGCAGAAATCAGAGCCCTAAGGAGATTCAAAAGCTATCCTCAGGCTTGTCCAAGAAAATAAAAGCACAACTAGAGAGAATTAACACATCTCCCTCTATAGCTAATCAAAAAGAGGAAAAACGTATCAATTTGTTCTTCTCTGCTGCTATAAATGCATTTCACACAACGTTTCTAAATAGATGTTCTCAGCTTTGTAATCAAGCTTGTAATCAGCAATCTGATCCAATGTTCGTGACATCGCATCCCATACAAAGCAAGAGGCTGAGGCATCTCTGAATGAATCATGCAGGAAGAGACAGATTATGAAGGAATAAGCTTCTGTTTACACGTGTCTTGACATTGAGCAGTTACTGAAAATAAAAGAAACATTCAAAAGCACACAGTAGCTTCATGGGGCCTACTGAAGTATTTTTTCCGTGTGTCAAAGCATGATGCTGGCACAAAATACACACATGATGTCCCAGTGTATCCTTGTGCCCCCCTTGCACTGTTTTCAGCAAGTTGGGCTTATGTTGGAGGGCATGCTTAGAATTCACAGTGAAACATCTAGAAATGCCAGTCTTCACCTGAACACAGAAAAGAGGAAAAAAATCAAACTCAGCTCCATTTCATACAAATCTGAATAGAGTCCCTGTGCTTATCTATCAAACTAAATCATAAACCTGAAGTTGACAGGTGTGACTTTCAGCTTAGCTAGTTCCCACTGGCTTCTTTGTGACTAGACAAAAAAAAAAACACAAAACACACACACACTTTTAACGAAACACATTTGACTTTTAGATAAAGTAGATGAACATTTTTAAGAGAGGCCATGATTCTGGGCAGTTCAGGTGAGACCTTAAAAGTCCAGCATGCCAGCAACTGCTGAATGTAAATCAGGGCTCACTTAAGGACTGTAAGCATAAAAAAAAAAAAAAAAACAACCCACACTCTATAATTTCTAACATAAGCCCCTTGCAGGACCGTCTAATTTAAAAAGCTTCTGAACATGGCTCGAAGTACGCGTGTCTGCCCCAAAGGACTGCCAGAATTCTGCTCCTTCTCACCTTTCCTGTCTGATGGGAGAGTCATGCTCAGGATACAAGTCAAGGACTGGAAGTAATGGGATCCTCCATTAACTCAGTCTGCACTGCTTCACCTTGGCTCCTTCCAGCATGGCTTTGAAGCACAGAGGACCTCTGCCTGCCCAAGGGGGGAAGTGGGACTGCTCGGCGCCTGCATGCTTCCCAGATAACCGGTGCAGTAACTTACTGACATAAGAGGGCTGAGACTACGGGGTTCATTCAATTTGGCTGTTGCCTTGATAGATTGAAGCAGGGTAACCTTCTGCAGTTTTGCTCACTGTGCATCTTCAGATGCTGGAAAGATAAAACTAACACAAAGAACACAACTGCCAGACACTGATAGTATCTCAATTAACTCCTGAAAAGGATGTAGTCCTTCCTTTATTCCAAGTCAGCTCTGTCACACAATAAGCTGCTTCCCAGTCTTTATTGGCCAACCTTATAAGACACTGCCAGAAGCAAGTGTCAACGTTTCAAAAACTTTATGGAATGAGTTCCTTCCAAGCCAGTGAGATCCCCGAGATGAGACTCTGTTGGCCGACAGAGACAACAAATGAACCAGGGTGACTATTCCTCCCACACCTCACCAACTCCACAAAAAATGAACTGGCTTGAATCTCAGTTTGTTAAGCATAGAGCTGATGAAGTCCATAAGTACTCACTATTCAAGAATCCACCCCTTCTAATTAGTGAGAAAGCACATGCAAAATATACAAGTGAACAGAGTTCTATGAATCAAATGATTTAGCTGACTGAAGCATTTTCAAATTCCCACTTACCTATACCCTCCTCTAAATGGGATTCTCTCATGCACTTTCAGTGTCTATGTTAAACAATTTTAAAACACAGAAGTAATGACTTTATCACAGATAAGCACTACTGAAGCAATGCAAAGCTTCTGAAATATGTTTTCAGAGAGTCTATCCCAATTACACACAATTCCTATCATGTGCTAGACAAACGTAAGACAACATTGCCAGTCTCTTCCTTTTCCCTCTGTAGCACAATCCTAAAGAAAACAAAGGCCATCACCATAAAGCACCAATTTTCCCCAAAGACACGGGTAGCTATGTACTTACCTGAGGAAAATCACCATTTTTTGGTAAGAAGTCAATGGGGTCCACAGATGCATAGTTTGTATCCGATAAATGTGATGTGCTGATGGAACTCTCATAAAAATCGTGAGGGGAATTAAAATATTGCCTGTAAGGAAATGGGAAAAGCAGTTATTTCCTGTCAGTCCTGAGAATTTCTCAGGTTGCTTCAGGCTCCATCATCAGCGGTGAATGAGCTAATATGAGATGACACATACAAGAGACTGATTTTAAAAAGCTGTGTTTATCCAGAAGAGATATCTACAGGGCAAAATAATAAATCTACAAATTATAAGCTACTTCTCAGACTCACTACTGTAAGAGTCTGGAAAGTTGTACCACAATCATAAGATTAAGAATTCAATTCTCAACAATTTGTGTAAACTGGGAAAGGTTGCTTGGATAAAAAGGGCCTGAAGGACTAAATAATGTTTCAATCCTGACAACAAAACAAAATTAAACCTCCGAGACGTTCCAGTGCCAAGTGTTTGACGGGTGTGATGGAACCTGACAATCACGCTGTACGTAAGCACAAGCATTAAGTTTCACAGTAATATCACATCTGGACCCTAGCTCAGGTCACAGAGCTGAAGAAGCCCCACAAACTAACACAGACAAGCCTGCACGCTGGGAAAGGGAAAGACAACACCTCCCTTCTTACATCCTTGACAAGGAATTTCATCAGTCAGATACAGTGTGATCTTAGCTTAAAAAGAGATAAAAATGGAAGAGATAGGGACAGGCAGAATTATTAGACAAAAATATTAGCCCATACATGGTTTTGTAGGGATGCGTTATGGATGCATCTGATCACTACCTAGTTACAAAGCAAGACTACTGCCAAACAAGTGAAAAAAGCAGAGATCTTCTGATTACTCTCTCCTGGGCAGGGCACATGCCAGCACTTCCTCCTGCCTCCCTCCCCCCAGAACTAGCTGCCTCTGAACAGAAAGTAGGTAAGAATTGCAAAATCAGACGAGTTCCCTCTCCTCCTTCTCAGGAGTAGCCTCTGGTCTGTATTACATGACTGTCTTCTGGTTTTGCTATTACACACACAAGCCCTTTCCCTCTCCTGCAGGAGCAAGGAATGTGCTTCGTAATCTTTCCCGTAAGGGCTGCGCACGCAGAATGCTTGGGCAATCGCCACCCAACACGTTTTCATGTTGGAACCATTAAAATGTTTCACCCTATCTGATTGGTTTCCTTTTGTGGCAAGTTACACGTTTTTTTGTAATGCCAGGGTTACAGAACCCACAGCAAATAAACTTTAACAAGTCACTGGAGGAGGTTGGGTGGCAGGGAGGGGAAACAAAATTTAAGAAGAAATACTATCCAGGAGCAGAGCTAGGGAGGGACTGTACCACCAAAGTATTATTAAGCAGTTAAAAACGTCATACGTGGCTAGCAGTTCTTTACTACACCATGCCTAACATTTACATATGTATTTATCTGCAAACCTACACAGTTATCTCCCTCTGCTAAATACATTTTTGCTCCTCTTTTTTGCATCACTAAAGATAATGACCTGGAAAAGTCTCAGCTCCCTCCCCCTCTTTTTTTTTTTCCTTCCTGTATCAATGCTGCCACTGTTTTACTTACTGTGGAGATACACTGAAACAGCTACCTACCCGGGTGCAAATGCAAAGAGAGGTGGATTTAGCACACCTTGCACTTCATAGCTCTATCCAGAACTGGCCCTTGGCTCCTCCTAACCTATTGGGTCAAACTGAAAGCTATGGACAAATTCTGGGAATTAATAGGGTTACACACAGGAAAAGTTTGTGTAAACTGCTTTAAAGCTGAAACTGGTGTGGTCTCACCCTCTCTCTTGCAGAAGCAAAGGAGTTTGTGCAGCCCCAACATGAACTAACCAGGGGAAAACTACCGGCACCAGAAGAGTAAGCATAACCTATTTCACCAGATTCCCAGAGTCAGTGGAGGCAACATGAAGGAGACCAAGGCAGCCTCAATTCTGCCTGGCCTAACCTGTCGTGGAATGGCTAGCTTCAGCATGTTATTCTGCATCCCTTAATCTTGGTTTTCAAATCAGCAAGTGTCAGATGCAATTTCAAGACTCTGTAAGAAGAAAAAAAGGGCAAATAGCAATTCAATGCACTGCTTTGAGATCCTCTTCGGAAAGCAACTAAGTAGGCAGTGCTTGCCAAAGTCCTTTTAGTACCTTTGGTACTGTGCTTTGCCTTTCATTCAGTAAGAACTTAAGAATGTTCACCCTTGTTTGAAGAGCTGGCATAAAGCCACTGACAGGTTAACTTTAATTATATCTCAAAAACCAGCGTAATTGGAAGAGTCAAGTATGTGAACCTTGCTGCATTGCCAAAGCAAAAGTGTGAAAATAACCTCACAGCAAGATTGCCCTGTACGCGCCTGCTCACCCTTTCGGTATTTAGCTACTGACACACTGCTTCGTGGAAGCTACTCTTGGTAACAGCTTCCACTCCGAGGCTGACTAAAGGTCATTGTTTTAGAAAGGAAATTCACATTGGATTTATTCACACCGGATTTAAAAAAGACTGCCCCTTTGCACACTTAAACTAAGATCTGACATCAAGATGCAGCACTAGAAAAGGATCCAGGTGTCCTGGCTACTAGGAGAGAACACCTGCAGTCATTAACTCCGATATTGTAAGTCCACATCCTATCACAGCAATGCTCAACTCGCCCATGGAGAGGCGCACTCTGGCTAACCTGACCCATCCCAGAGCCAAAATCCCTCTAATTAAACTCAGAAGCAAGCCAGGGACGTGGACATTCGGGGCCCATCCAACAACAGTTATATGAAACCTGTTAATAAGTCCCTTTCAGGCCATTGACTCAACTTAACCAAAGACTTTGGCTCTTGAAGCAATCAAGGCTCTGTATTGATTACTAACCTCATAATAATTAAATATATGTGCTTATCATTTGGTCCAGTGAAACTGATCTCTAACCGTAGCACTGAGATCAGAGTTTAATGAGTTAACACTAGAGAGTTTGAAGCCATCTTATTTTACTTCTTTTGGCTACAGAAAGCCAGCACTGATCATCTTCCTGAACAAAAATGGGCCTTTTAACACAAATGACTAAATGTTTCATTGTAAATTCTTAAAGAAATTATACTGCACTGAGAAACTAAAGTTAAGTTTGGAGACGTGCTGTGTTCTTCAGAAAGAAGAGGCTGCATTCGGCCTGACACAGGAATCTGCAATCAGCCCCTTGGAAGAGGCACGCTCCACTACAACACAGGCAGCTTCTACATCACTTCTTTTTTTTTTCCTCTCGTGAAAAGCTAATCATCCCCAAAGAAATTAAATGGACAAAAAGAGAAGGAATGCTGGTCTCCTACTTTTATTTAAGCTCTGTTTCACAAAAGAGGAAAAGAGAATCTGGGTCACGAGCTAAGTTCAGCTCAAATTTAGCCTTTAATTATGTGAAAGAGGTTACATATGCTGACCCAGGTACACATGTCCTTCAACAGGCACAGGTTAAGAAAATAAGCTTCTACTTCTTGCCCCCCACACAAAACAAGCCAAAAAAGCCAAGCCCAAAGATTCAGCTGTAAGAAAAAGAACATTTAGAAATCTAACTAGAGGGCTATTTCTCTCTAAGAAAGCATGAAGGAAAGTACATTAAGCTGTGCAAAGCTCAGAACAGAACAAGCAGTAGATGTCTTACTGCAGAGAGGTATCCTACACCTAACGAAGGAATAAAGCAGATGGCCCAGAGAAATTCTTTCATACCCAAGTTCTGTGACGTTATGAGCTGGGTGGGGAGCATTTTTGCATTATATCAAGTTCAGACAATTGCTTTAAATACCAAGATTGTTTTTTGCTGCCACCCACTCTAAACATAGCAGCAGTGGAACAGTTTGGTGTAAGGCAAACCTGAGCTGACATCTGACTCGCACAAACAACTTGATGTCAGTCCAGCCTGTGGTTCCCAGGGCAGAGCTATTTCATTCAACCCAGAAGGGGGAGAGGGGAGGGAAGAATTTGATCCTTTCGTCCAGTTCTCCTGAAGCTCACATTTTCAACCAGCACAGTCCACAGGAATACGTTGGGGACAAGCTCTTACTGGAATCCACATCTCAAAAAGTGAGCCAGTGCACCACATATCCTTCCCGGGAGATAGGTATCCATCCATCCACAGCTTAAGCCTGCTATAGCAGCCTGTGTTTAAACAACTATGATACAGTGCCTGCCTCATATGCCTTACCCCCAGCTGCTAATAAATGTGTCCAGCGTACCTGAAGCCCTTCTGGGGCCATGTTGTAATTTCACTGGAGACCTCCTCTGTGCATTTTGGCCAGGCTTTATGCTTTGATCTTATAGCCTCCATCCAGAGATGCAAATTCCACTTCTCAGGTCTGCAGATGATCAGAGCCAGGCTGGCCAGGTCACAGGCTACCTAGCATTGATCTAGGTACTCTTCCTCCCCGTCATTAGACCAATTCATGTTTTTCAAAACCTACTTTATTATACTCCACAGGAAGGGAAAAGTGGGAAAGGGCAGGAAAATGGCAGGAAAAGGGGGAGGTCGTGTGTTTTGGAAACTGGGGAGAAAAGCTTTGCTCCAAGTTTTGAGAAATACTTTTTGCAGACGTGTGTGACGCCACTTCCAACAGCACACCTGGACTGACCCAGGCTCCCTTGGAGCAAGGAATGTATTGAGCCTACTGCTGTAAAAGCAGCCCAGCTCTTTCGGGGTAATTGCCTCAGAAATTAACTGCCCTCCAACTCTTCCCTGCAGGCGATCTGAACTTCATTTGTTCTTTTGGCAAGTTTTAATATACTGTTTACTTTTCCAGGTTAAGAAAATCTGAAACTAAGACAGAAGCTTTGGTATCTTTTAAATAAATTCTCTAGCATGAAAGTATTGAAAAGAAACAGGAAAAACCTGCTTCAGGACAAAGCTGTTGCTATGAGAATAAGCCATGTCCAAACACAGCCACTTGCAAATGAGATTTCTTCTAAAAGAATTCTGAAGAGAAGTTTGAACTATTTCTATCTGCATTTCCCTATTTTATAATGCAGTCCATAATTACAACTCTTTAAAATTACATTTTCCCTTTTTT